TTGTTCCCCCGGTTGTGAGAGTTGAATGTGAGAGTGAATGAATAGTGGCATTGTAAAGCGCTTTGGGTGCCTTGAAAAGCGCTATATAAATCCAATCCATTATTATTATTATTATTACTGTTCAGAGTGAAAAGTTTTGTGTCACTGTGGAGTGAGAGGGTACAGACCTGCCCCTTGAAATTTAATTGAAAATCCGACACCTTCAGCCTATATGGACAAGCGGATTGCCTTCTGGAAAAAAGTTTTTGATAGGACAAAATAAAGATTGAGCTACTTTGGCCGCAGTGAGAAGAGGTATGTTCTGAGGAATAAAGATGAGGATTTCAAACCTAAGAACACTGTAGCAACCGTCAAACACAGTGGTGGTAACATCATGATCTGGGGGCCGTTTGCTGCCATTATTACTGGTACATTGCACAAAATTGATGGAATAAAGAAGGAGGAGACCTGCTTCCAAATTCTTCAACCTTGCCTCAAATCAACAGCTAGATGCTTGAAACTTGGACAGAGTTGGGTGTTCCAGCAGGACAATAACTGGAAACACACATCAAAGCTCAGTCCATGTCAGGAAACAAACCAGTTTAAATGAACTCTACCAACTCTGTCACAAACAGTGATCAAATATCCAGCCATAATAATGCCAGGATCTTGTTTATGGCTACCAAAATTGAGATAGATCTTGGTGGAGAGTGGCCAAGCTAAGATCTTGTGGGACTTCCAGATACAGACGTACAAAATGGTGGTGGCAAACCAACCAGACATAGTGGTGGTAGACAAGCAGAAAGCAGAAGAAGATGGCCATAGTGATAGATGTAGCGATACAGAATAACAGCAACATCAGGAAGAAGGAACACAAGAAACTTGAGAAGTACCAAGGGCTCAGAGAAGAGCTCGAGAAGATGTGCAGGGTGAAGGTAACAGTGGTCCTAGTGGTAATCGGAGCACTAGGTGCAGTGACTCCCAAGCTAGGTGAGTGGCTCCAGCAGATCCCAGGAACAACATCCAAGATCTCTGTCCAGAAGAGCGCAGTAAGGAACAGCTAAGATACTGTGCAGTACCCTCAAGCTCCCAGGCCTCTGGTGGAGGACACGAGAGAAGAATTTATGTATATACTTTTGACTCTGTGTGGATTACAGAAAATATAAATAAATTCAAACTTATAATAATAATAATAATACATTTTATTTGAAAGCGCCTTTCAGAGCACTTAAGGACACTGTACACAGCATAACACATAAAACAAATTTAAAATAGCAGAGTAGAAAGGTTATGTGGGATAAGCAAATTTGAACAAGTGAGTTTTGAGTCTAGACTTAAAGAGAGAAGAAAGTGATATTTCCTTAATCAGGAAGTAGGGAAATCCAGAGTCGAGGAGCAGAGCAACTGAAAGCCCTGCTCCCCATGATGGAAAGATGGGCAAGACGGGGAGAGGGGACAGAGAGAGAAAGAGAAGAAGAAGATCTGAGACACCGAGATGGGATAGTGATCTGAACCAAATCAGAGAGATATGGAAGGGAGAGATGATGAATTGCCTTAAGCGTATACAAAAGTATTTCGAAATTTATGCGATATTTGACCAGGAGCCAATGAAGCTGCTGCAGGACAAGAGTGATGTGATGGATAGAAGCGGTCCTGGTGATAATATGGGCAGCAGAGTTCTGGATGCGTTGGAGCTTGTGGATGGATTTTAGAGTAAGACCGAAAAGAAGTAAATTACAGTAATCGATGGCTATGAACAAGAATGGCAGTGGCATGTGGAGTGAGGAAAGGACAGAGACGATTAAACTTCTGCATCTAATTGTTGTTTTTTTGAAGTCATTAAAGACATATGCTTTACAATCAATCCACCCTGGAAAAAGTAATTAAAAGTTCAAAATTAACATGACATTCATGACCATGATGAATATAGCCTTCTGATCACAACAGTAATATTACACAAATACTGAGATATGATATAAATATATAATATATAAGTTGTGAATATGCTTAAATGTAGGTGTAAATATAAAAGTAGTCTTAAGTACTCCTACGCTCATAAAATACTGTATCAGGCTATCACAAATCAATGGACCGGTGATGCAGCTGTGCCACACATCACCAATTAAAATCACTTTAACATAATGTTTCTTTTTGATTAAATGCCTCAACTCCTCTCTTGTCATGTTTCTCCCTCAGGCATAAGAGGACCTAAGACTTGAGAACGCAAGCAAAGGAATCAAGGACATACCAGCTGAGACTCACTGTATATCATGAGGTTGCTTTCCCTCCATTGTGATTGTCTTTCCTTCTTTAATTAGTCTTGTCTATTCAATTACTCTCTGCACACCCACACACACACACACACACACGAATATGTATGTCCTGTGTAAATTGTCAGTCCATCTGTATTCTTGGATTCCTGATTTCTCTGTTTGGCTTATTGTGAGTTCGAATCAGCTTAGCATTAAAGCTGGATTTTGGTGTATTCCTGCCTCATGTGTCCTTCATCTGGGTCCTCATTTGCATAAAACATAGTAGAAAGTTTGACAGAATTACTTCTATTAGTTCAGTGTTAAGTTCCAATCTTAATCCAAGTGTATTAACAAACTCTGTTAACACACAACTGACCGCAGTCACTGTTAACCTTTTTGGGTTTGTTTCTTAGCCACCCGTGTTAGAACATTAGAGAGATTTCTGGGTTTCGCAATGCTGATTAGGAATAAAACATCACCATGGGCTCCAGGAAATTCAATACTTGATATTTTTACTGCTCACTGGAAGACAGAGCAGAGTTGAAACCCTAAATAGGTTATATTTCCACCCTCGAAACATTCATCATCTACCTGGTAACCTTGGATAAAAAAAATGAGGCTATCAAGATACTCTGTAACCATAGAAACACTGCCAGAACCAGAACCATGACAACATAAACAGGCATGGTAAGACCATCACTTGACATTAATCTCAGGATTATAAGAACATTATGAAACACAGATATAGATGAGGTGAAGTGGCTGAACACAGATGAGATCACTTGGTGATTAAAGGGCTGGTGAAGACCAAATCTTTCTATCAGCAGGTTTTGATTTTAATCTGTCTCCATCCCATTTATTCCTATTTTCAGTAAAAATGTGTGCCACAGTTATTATTATGTTGAAGTAATTGTAAGATATGACACAACAAAGCTGGTGGAGGATCTAGAGATATATTAAGAAGACCAGGTAAGTAGTCTAAATGCATCCAGATTAAGAATAAATAGATGATCTGGTTATTTCTGGAGCCAAAAAGGGCCTTGGTTGCTACAATGAAAAACACAAAACACTACCATGTTTAACGTCTTAAAATGAGTGGAACTGAAAACATGACTTGCAAAACTGATAAAAAGTCAACCAAGAGAACCAAAATCCAAATTGAAGATACATGAATGATAAAACCATCGTTAAAGAATTAGAATTTTTTTTTTAAAGAGCTTACTGGGAACAGGGAAGCTCTTCATCAGGTTTCTTTACCAGCTCATATCAAAACATAATTCCTAAACACACGAGAACAGTTCCTCCACCTCTGTGCTGTGCACAGTGTATCCATACCTGTATGCTGACCTGAACTGGTTGCCTCTCTCCACTTTTGGTATGTGCCACACCTTCTGTCTCGTACAGGCCAGTATAGACCACAGACTGTGGGTCTTTAGACTGCTGCTCCAGGGGGAAGGTCACCCCACCCACGCTCATTGACCTGCATTGACCAGATCACACAGCAAAAATAGAATCATCACAAAACAGCAAAGGTATGAAATGCATGAATGAAAATAGTTTTACACAAAGAGGGAGGGAGAGAGAAAAGCAGAGGAAGAGGAAGAGAGAGCCTTGTGTTGACAAATCAGTTGGTGAAATAGGGCTACAGCTGGGCTTCACTGGCTTGCCCCACATTCAGTTCAACACCACCTATGCATCACTGCGTGTGTGACCTAGTTTTACATTGGAGTGCTCCTTCAGTGATGTTTTTACATCCTGGTAGTTAAATATCCAACGCTAATCCTTATTGGGAGATGCGAGTACGACAACTCACATTACATAATCATGAATTGTAGGCAAATCCCAGGAGGGCGGTGCCACAAAGCCCAAACACTGGAGTCCTAATCTGCGGGGGATTTGACGTGCAGCCAGTTGGGGTTTATGCTGCCTTTATGTGCTCCACGTAAAATCCAACTTTTGAACGTTGAACTT